AAAACAATAACTATGTTCGATAAACAAAAACTTTTGATATAAAATATATATGTCATGATATAAAATAAATAATTTGTTTGTAGACGGCAAAGTTGGCAAATTAATATTATGGATGTTTCTTGTTATAGTAAACATGTATATTATAATTTTATCGGGATAAAAAACAGATATTGTTTATTTGAAATATGACACGAGATCGACAAAGGTAACAGAACTCAAACTCTCCGCAAATTTACTATATTAACTATAAATGTACACCGAAGTTTTTTACAAGTTTGATAATAAAACAAACAATTGCCTTAAGTCAGTTTAGTTAGAAAGATAATGGACTGTCCAAAATGCAATACCAATATAAAGTAAAAAGGTACACAAATATTTGGCCAAAGTCAACCAAATAGAAGTAAAAGTTTAAAAAATGTTGAAATGGCAATGGAAATTTATATTTATAAAATGTGCTTGTATAGAGTTACTTTTTAAAATAATAGTCGGTGAAATTCATTGAATATTCGACGGTACAAAACAATCGCTTTGTTGCTTTTGCATTGTTTAATTGACCAAATCTTTATTGTGCTTTATGCACGGCGTTTGTTTAAAGAGTTCAATTTAAATTTTACGCTCAATATGAAAAAAACATAAATATTCGAATACGAGAATATGAAATATGTCTAATATCAAAGACATTCGCTCGAGTTAATTTAATTCCGACTTACCATTAAGCCCGTTTTTTTTTTTTTTGTTGTACATTTTTGGTTTGGTTCGTGTGAGAGCAATGAAATTGTTTCTGGTGGGCTACGCAATATATCAAGAAAACTTTGAAAGCGTATAACAATAAAGAGTAGCTCGGCATGGCTGGGTATGTGTTCGCTTTATCTCGTATGAGAAAACCTAGACAGTGTAAACAGTGAAAAGTGCAAGGGGCAAGAAGAATAGCAGTCGAAATCAAAACCGATCTCTGTTGGCAAATAAAAAAATAAATCTGCGCAAACTGTTTTATTGGAAATTTACAACTGTCGATTCGATTACGTGCGGCGTTGTGTAATAATTCATTTTTCGCCCGTAAATTACACAACAAACCAATCTGAAGTGCTACCTAAGACTATGGAAATAGACGGAGCTGTCTGTGTAATAAAACACAATTTCCAAAGACAAATGCACCCAGTACACATCGGTTCTGTGACTTTGGAATTACTATATTATTGTTGTTGTTACTATTACTATAGTCGACCGCGGTTTTGCCATAATATTGTATTGCTGCCCATCTACGTGACTAGAATCGTCGGCACACAAACCATCGGAGATTGCAATCTGTGACAACATTATCAGCAATGGTCCGTACAACTTATGTTTTAACTGTGTACAGGTGTATATAATTCGTGTACATGTGACTGTAGAAGTTTGAGCCGGGAAATTTACGACCCAGATATCCTTGTGCTCGGTGGTTATCGAACTTTCGGTGTATTATAACGTTATTATAACGTGCCTGGTCGAAACGCAAATGTGTAAAGGCCTAAAACGCATTTGGAAAATATACCCTTTCGGAAAGGTGTACATAATTTCACACGGCCGTCGTCCGTATGCACTCCCATTAATAACTAACTGACCGTTTCACTGTAACCACACCGTGGAGATTATCATTCGTATGATATGATACGCGTAACCGTAATGACCAAATGCCAATTAAACGATACGGATTTCGATGCTGGCGACATTTATATTGGGAAATTAAAGTAACGTGCGTACGAATTTCGCACGCGATTTACAAATATTAACGTGTTCCGCCGGCAGTCGCTGTCGACTGATAACATTCATTCAATTTTCCGCTTTTCCGGACGCGTACAGAGCGGTAAACCATCGAAAAAACGGAATAAATTCCTCTCTAATGATTGAGTCGATCAAATTTTTGTCGGTCGCCGTCCATGTTAACACCAAAGGGTGTAAACGTCATTTACCGGTTTAGATAACTATAATCACGATAAAAAACAATATTCCTCGTCTATCGATAAAATACCAGTAATATTATATATTCACATTCGTGCGAATAATTTTTAAATTATGTTAAGGACGCTACTTGTTCACGGCGATGTCGACAAACATTTCGATTGTCTGTATCAGTTAGGGAAAGAGGCTTAGCCTATCGGAATTCTCTCCTCTAAAATTTCAGAAAAATTACATTTATGGTATCGTAGAAATAAATTAAGGGAGAGAGTAATAAAAACTATGTGCAATGGAATAATAAAAACTGTCGATCAAAACATTTGTTTTTGAGAGTCTCTAGTCACGACTCACCTTTGAGGATTATTTAATATGTATGTATCTTGTTGTTCTATCTCAGTTTAGAGTTTTATTAATTCATCTCGGCCTATAATTTACCGGTTTCCTTAGAAATAATGTCATAAATTTTATATTCTACCAATATTTCGAAGAAAAATGTATGTTGTGGTGTTATTCATTTGTACACTTTAGAGAATATCTCTAGTGGTTATTATTTATTTGTTCGGCGGTAGTAATTTTTTTGGTTTATTAACAAATAGAATAAAACTCATAAAAAAACACGAATAATACAAGAGGTTTTAAAAGCCGTACAATAACAAAGACGGCGAGTTTCCCGAAATGTATTTCGATTAAACTTCTTAATCTTTAAGCTCTCACCTATTGAAATCCTTTTTATTTAAAATTAGTTTAAAGTGCGTTTGTGTGTGTTTTTAAAGCTTACGCTGCGTTGTTTTCATTTAGTATTAAAATCTCGCATTAAGAATTAACACATACACGAGACCATTTAAAATTATTCCACACTGCGTACACACAAATCGCTGGCCGTTTTATAATGGGCGTGACGCGAGATTGTTTGTTTTTAATTTATTTTTCCGCGAATAAAAAACAAACGCGTGACGCCATGCGAACTTGTTGTTTTAAGCGGAATAATCCCAAGTACATTCAACAAGGGTGCCCTGGCCTATGATTGTTGTTCCTACGCGGTGCGTTCATATCGTATGTCACGTGTTTATAGGTTAGTAGGAGAGTGTGTATTGGGACGGGGGCGACATGTGCGCGTTATTATGTTGTCCGAACTTTTAGTGCCGCAATATTTCTGTGCGTATGTTTGCCCCTCCGATGCAACTCGGCCCATAACATTTTTTATATACAACGAACACGGTGCCAGTAAAACGGTATAGAAACATTTTTATTAGATATTCCGCAGCTAACCTGCCGGCCGATATTATTATGTCTCTACAATACGACTTTGGAAACGCATTTCGGTGTTGGAACTGCGCTCTATTCAAATTCGATATCCTTTTACTTCTACTTACGGCGCATTTCGATAGAAATTGGACCGCTTTTCGCGAGTGCCATTTACTTCTGCCGTCTCCATTACCCGCACTCTACTCCGGTCTGTAGGGTTTATTATAATAATCGCATTTTAATACACATTTTGTTCTCGACGGAACCGTTCGCCGGTCATGGGCCGAGTCACATCGTCTTCTATAACAGTTGAAAGTTCACTATTGGCAGCAGTAGTACACATTTATAGTGTAATAATATGTTAGAAATAACATATTATCGTAACAATGTAATAAAAGCGATGCCGGTCGAACACGCGCAAGTGGAAAAAATAAAAACGCTGTAATATAATATGGTAATCACAGAAGATCATTAGGATTGCGTATTAGGGCAAGTCGATAATATCTGTAGTTTTTTCGATACGCATTAGTAATTTCGAAGAGAGGAACGGGTAGACGCTATGGGAGGAAATGATGAAGATAACCGAGACCTTCTTAATAGTTTATTACGAGCCATTTAGAGATGCCTCGGGATAACGTAAATGTATCCCTAAACATAATGACGAATCGTGGTGAACTTTTCATGAAAAATAAAAAAATGTTTATTATTTTTGAATTTATAAATGTATATATATTTACCATAAATAATTCATGATTAGCAGTAGCCAAGTATAAATATTTCTTTAAAGAGTATTCCGATGGAAATTCGTAAAATTTCTTTTTTCCAGCAAACTTTACAGAAGTTTGTGCGAATTTAAATGGAGTTACTTAGACGTTGAAACTTTTTGACTCATATTGTAAGTTGTTGTCAAACATTGTTTCTGTGGGTAGTACAGAAGTTCTATACTCTAATAAGATTGTTATTTTATCTCATTAACAATTGTATTCTATGTGTAGGATACATGCCGTCAAAACTCAAAGTGTTTTAATGAAAGTTACATTATGTATACGACGTACTGAAATAAATTAGTCAAGTTCAAAAATCACATATGATAATGACTACCTAAAAATCATCGAATAATGCAGCCCAGCTATTATATACAATAGTAGAACAGTTTTTCAGTAGATAAATAGGAAAACTACGATTGATTTTTAAAATGTCAATTTAATCGAGACCTTAAATGGAAACGATTAAAATTCACTCAATTTTTTTCAATAGATACACTTACAATAAATTAATATGTTTTGTATACAAGATTTTTATTAGAAATTATCAGTCTATTTTATTTTACTTTTAGTTTCACAGGTTTAACAATTAAAAAATTAAAGAAACTGTGTACATTCGTTGTTTATTCTTCAGAAATTTAATTTTGTTTACTCGTATTTTAATGAAAGAGATAAAAAAATACATTTACTCCGGCGGTGTTCAATTGAAAATAAAGGTGCGATTATCCAAATATTTGTATTTGTCCAAACAAAAAAGTTGTATTACAAATGTTAAAAAAAACATTCAAATTACAAATACTTCGCCGGTCACAGAAATACTTACAACAAACATTTTTTTTTTTATACAAACAAAAATTGATTTTTTAGATAATTTATGTGTTGAAATATAACGTAAAAGTAGAAATTATAAATCTTATTTTAAACTCTGACCTCTGTAAAAAGTAAATTTATACAAACAATTATTATCAGCACATGAAAAGGTACATAATAATTCAGACTTTTATGTTTTCATCGTCACTACGTTAATGTTAGTTATACGCATATAACATATTTTTATTTAAATCTCGCTATTTTATTTTTACTGCAAATAGATGTTTTTCGTGAAACCTTTAATGCTCGAGTTTTTTCGTACGCTAGAAGACACTCGGTCTAATTCTCTAATACGTTAATTATTCATCACTGAAAGCGTGTGTTGCGTTCGCTTTATTTCCGCTCATAAACTACACGGTTGTGCACCGTGATGGGTAATTACTATTCTACTAAAACCCAACGGTAAAACATGACGTTTATGTGTAAAGTACAAACCCTCGAAAGTAGCTGAATGACATACCAAGCTTCTCTTGACCTCACATCAGTGGGTATTTAAAGTATAAACTGTACTTTTATGTGTTACCGAATCGAGTAAAAAGACACACAGTGCAAGTTTACGCAAGCAGAACACAAATTATAAGCATAAATTAAAACTAATGGACTATGCTCAAAAACATATGGTAAATGTAAATTTTGTTTCCAAAATGTCGTATAGGAGTGTATAGAGTTTCCAGTTCAAAAAATGTAAGTGATCACATTTCAAAACGATAAGTCCAATCTTATATTTTACAGCGTAATATTTTATTTTAGGTAGTCAAAAATAAATACAACTTTAAACAATGAAAGCTCAGCGGTTATGTTTTTATGATTAACCAATCACAGTTAAATTTACTACCGGTTAATTGAGTTTAAAATAATCGAAACTTTAATATGTTGTTGGGTTAAGTAGAAAGAAAGAAAAAAATATGATACTTTACTATTTCATAGCCTTAGACTTGATTTGCATGAAGGATTTGCAACTACATCAAAGATTAAACGAGCAACGTTGTTTGCGATATACCCTCGTTAAAAATTATTTCAAGTTTTAGTGTCGACACAAATGAGAGAGTTTTAAACGCCTACATTGCAAAAAAAATCTGTGAAAATATTTCAAGATAATTAATGGAAAGTAAGTGCTGATTGGTAAATAATTCACTGTCTTAAAAACTTGGTACTCATCAATGATATTTTTGTCAACATTTTTTTTCAAGATTTATTTGTTTATAATTACTACTCTTTTATGAAAATATATTTTTAATCTTTACTAACCAATATTTTTATTACAGTTCAGATTTTTTTTTCTTTGATGATTAAGTAAATTTTGTTTGTTGGGAATTGTAAATGTTGATCAATTAACAATATTTATGTTGTACTTTTATAAAAAATTAATTTAAAATNCAAAACGATAAGTCCAATCTTATATTTTACAGCGTAATATTTTATTTTAGGTAGTCAAAAATAAATACAACTTTAAACAATGAAAGCTCAGCGGTTATGTTTTTATGATTAACCAATCACAGTTAAATTTACTACCGGTTAATTGAGTTTAAAATAATCGAAACTTTAATATGTTGTTGGGTTAAGTAGAAAGAAAGAAAAAAATATGATACTTTACTATTTCATAGCCTTAGACTTGATTTGCATGAAGGATTTGCAACTACATCAAAGATTAAACGAGCAACGTTGTTTGCGATATACCCTCGTTAAAAATTATTTCAAGTTTTAGTGTCGAACAAATGAGAGAGTTTTAAACGCCTACATTGCAAAAAAAAATCTGTGAAAATATTTCAAGATAATTAATGGAAAGTAAGTGCTGATTGGTAAATAATTCACTGTCTTAAAAACTTGGTACTCATCAATGATATTTTTGTCAACATTTTTTTTCAAGATTTATTTGTTTATAATTACTACTCTTTTATGAAAATATATTTTTAATTTTTACTAACCAATATTTTTATTACAGTTCAGATTTTTTTTTCTTTGATGATTAAGTAAATTTTGTTTGTTGGGAATTGTAAATGTTGATCAATTAACAATATTTATGTTGTACTTTTATAAAAAATTAATTTAAAATTGTTTCAATATTTATTTATCTATGAATAATATTTGGTGATAAGTTTTGCGTAAGACACTCAGAAACTATTGAAAATTTTTATAAACAGAAAAATTATTTGGTTAAAACAATCCCTACAATAGTATATAGTAAAATAATTTTTTTTATTTCAGGAATAATAAAACCTTAACTTAAATTAAAGTTTCTAAGACAATGAGTGTTTTACCTAAAATTGATCACTCTGTATATACTGAAATATGGTCTAGCTGTATGAACAAATTACAGTTATTTACAACTTTGAGCCTAATGGACTATGTATTCAATTTGAACAATTTAGTTATTAATTAAACGATTCAATTATAGGCCGGTTTAACATAATAATGACAAATATGTTTACTTAACGCATTATGTCATTAATCGGCTTAAAATTATAGTTCGGTTTATTCAATTTCCGTTTGATTTACTGTTTCAGCTAAGATAGTGAACAAGGATAAGAACAAAGTACTATTCCGGAAAGTTACAAACGTTTATCAAAATAATATAGTAATACATTCGAAATGCAATTGGTTTATATGATCTATAAAGTACAACAAACTTGGTTATTTGAACTTTCTTTAACGAAGAAAAGAAATGAATCGAAGGGAGAAATACGTATTTTTGCTTTTAAGCTCATAACACTCATTGGTAATACTTTTGGGCTGAGGTCTAATAAAAAGGTCAAACACATTAAAAGTTATGATGGAATTAGAAAACGGAATTTTATATTTCCTACAAGCACGACAAAAATATAAATTCATCGTAAAATCACTCATTTATTATCCTCTTTAAAATTAATACTTTTCTTTCAATAAATTAAATTTATTCGTCGTAGGTTTTTATAGGTTAGGGCATTGACAATGACGAGTTCCATTAATTATATTATTTTAAAAACATGTACCGGGAAATGCTACTAGTTTGAAAATATTGGAATGTCAAGTAAATGCTTTGCAATTTTTGTTAGCAATTACTTGGCATTCCAAGTTTACGTTGATTATAAAAAAATAATAGTTTTCGATTTTCGAGCAAACATGTATTTTACTTTGTGTAGCATCTTAGTGAATAATTGATTTTTTTTTTACTGTCTTTAACAGAAATAAAAACGATTTCTTCAAAGAACGTGGACATAAAACAAATATCGGTTGTGTTCAGTAAAACTATAAAAGTATTGTGTCATTTCGAATACTAAAGTTGCCCATCAAATTATTCAAAAGTCAGAATCGATTTTATTTAGGTTATTTTACAATTTCACTTATATTACACAATGAAGTTGACGCAAACCAAGAAATCAAATATTTTTTAAAAAATAACAAACATGTCAGTTGTCGAATATTTGTCTATTTTTTTATCTCATTTTTTATTCCGTAACAATATATTGTCATATATCAGTTATATGTTGTATTAATGCAAGATTCCATTTTTAATGTTCAATTTTTCAGAATTTTCTGCGCAATAAAAAAATGACTCAAAATTAAGAAAACTCTTTTTTAAAGATTTTTAACAAAAGCTGACCATAGCGATGTAAAATTCTAACGAACTTGTTTTAGTTCGCGAATGTTAAATAGTAAATTTTGGAAAGATCTATAAAAGGATTAATAAAAACATTGTTTTAATTTAGCTTATATTAATAAGTGTTCACCACATCGAAAATTGTGTTGACTTAGAAGAGAATCTTTGTACCGCGAATTTCTAAATTCATCAGGAGAATGCCTTCAAGTATGATGAGATTTAGTTTTTGAAAATCTTTAATATTTTGACAGAATTTGAAAACTTTAAGAAGCAATAGAAATGCATAAACAAAAATATTACGGAGCTATAAAAATGTCAAAAACAAAAAATCTGAGAAAACATGAATATGTATAAACATAAAATTTGAGAAGTCATAGAAATGCCAAAAGCGAAAATTCTGAAAAGCCATAGAAATGTCAACAAACAAAAACCGCCAAATGTAAATATCGTCGGAATCGTCTAAAATTTTGCAAAGAATTAATATTATTAAGAAGAATTAATAGATTTAAAAAAAAATGTAATCGAAGAGTATAAGTAGCAAATTTGTACGAATAGTCGGATTGCTTTTAAAACACTCGTGACATTATTGACCATCGGTTTTTATAAAAATAAATGTCTAGTGTACATCGTAATAAAAATGTGTAACATAAAAGATTAGATTAAATTTTTCCCTCGGTGTAAAAATGCGACGTTTCACAGTTTTACGCTGTAAATTATTTGGCTGGCGTAACATTATTTTAGCGAGACTTGAAAATTCTATCCAAAAAAGGGTCCGATACATACTGCTCAGTATCGTGTGAACTCTACAATTCCGGTGAAATAGTTTCCGAAGTTTATCTCGAATATTTTGCTCATCTCCATATTTTAATGTTGTTACCGTATCATTGTACAATATGTGCACAGGCCATTACCAAAGTAATATCCGAACGGCCAGAGACTGGGAAGCCAACGAATTCCACCGGTGTAAAAACACGTTATGATGGACTGCAAACAACAAAGGCGGAGAGAAAAGTTTTCCAAAAATATTCTGTTCGCGTTCGCCATAAATTACTCGTTTCGCGCGCAAATTAGTCGGCCGCGGACCATTTCGGGAAATCATTAAAAACCTGTCGTCTCGGATTGCTCGTTCATTGTTCTTTTACCGGTAGCCGACAAATTACCGCCTCCATTAGATTCTTAAGCACACAGCTGTAGTACATTTTCTCATTCGGATACATACACTCGAACCGTCCGCCGGTCTCTACGGGCGCACCGATTACATGGCGTGTCGACCCAAAAATCCGATTTGATTGGGGTCGAGACTCGCGGGGATGTTTTTTCAAATGGCAATATAATAACGCGAGCAAATGAAATAAAATAATAACAATAACGAGTAAAAAAAATCAACCCGCGGAGAAATCAAGATTGTTATTGCCGTCGTCGTGTACCGGTAGGGCGAGTGGTAATCTAATTTGCAAGGAGCGGCAGCCAGTGGATATAATATTAATAATCGCGTTTCCCCTAAACTGTTTTGTATTCACAGCGAAAACGGCTGTGGAGCTTTGATGTTTTCCGAAAATATTCGTCTTTTCAATAACACCATGAACATATTTTCCGCTTCGCAATCCACCACATCGATACTTTATTTGTTTATTTTTATCTTCTCGTTTACCTCGCGCAACTTTCTCCCAACGACAACGTTAATAATATTTTTCGGATCTGCTACTGACAACAAAATCGCGTGCACTGGAATGCGGTGAACGTGTGGAGGAGGTGCTGTCGTCAGGAAGTGAATCGAACGGAAACCGATCGGCTGACACAACGGCGGGATGATGTATTTAATTTTATTTTCACCTTCTTTGTTTGTATTACTTTTTTTTTTGCAATAAACTCTTACGGTGATGTAGTAGTAGTAGTAGCAGTAGTAGTCAGGAAAATGATATTGTTTCGTGAAAAGTCATTCAAACTGGTACGTGCCAGCAGACTGCGAAAACAACTATTGCGGAGCTTATACCGAATGAACGCGTCTCGTGTAAAAAAAGAAACGCTACTGTGCTGAAATGATTTGTTGATCGTTATACGTGTATTGCACTTGATGTGCTAGATCAGCTATTGAGTCAATAAAAATTCACTGACTCGACAAAACACGTTAAAAAACGCATTGTAACGACTTGGGGTTACGACTGAGTTTGGTAATAGTTTTGTAAATTGATAGACGTTTTCTGAGTATTGAGTAACGATAAATAAAAACGTCCCGTAAACTGTTAATGCGCCTCTAGGGTTATATTTGTACTGAAAGTATTTTTATAATACGACTCGATAAAAATTTAATAAATAAGAGTAAAATAACATTTATTGCAATGCGTTTAGACTCAAAAATTAACTACAAATAAAAATTCAACGTTATTGATTGTGTTCATCGATTAAAAAGTTTGATACTCAGTGTTGGACATTATCTAGATAAATTTATAAAAAGATGGAATTTAGATAAATTTTACAAAGTTTATTCAGAGGACGAATTTGCGAGGTATCTAAGTGCTCTCCATGATAAAATAATAATTATTATTTCATGATTACAATCATTATTAAGGATTTTTCTAGATACATTTGTCAATCAGTTTTTTTGTGTACTAAATGATATTATTATTTACTCATATAATATACCAGCTTATTTTAAAATATCACAAGTCAAACAAAACAACTGTTATTATGATTATTTTTTCCTTGAATAATTATTATTGTGATATGAAAATAAGTATTTTTGTAATATTGTTAGAAGAACGTCAATTTTTATGGTAACTAGAATTTGGAAAAATAAAAATTACCTCAATTAAACTCGAATAATTTTTTTTTTATCTTTTTATTTTTTTAGATAATCTTTATTAAAAAAAAAAAAAAGAATAAAATTACTTAACTTGTTTGAATATACATCAATTTTAATGAAATATCTTTAATCTTATCCAGATTAATTTTTTTACTCGGGCACAATACTGCTGATATTAATGAAAGTTAATTAAAAGTACTAATATAACATACATCGTTAATTATTTATGTAATAATTAAACAAAAATATCTAAAGGATATGCTGATGTGTAGATTCCTATTTCAAATAGTAAAATTTTGTGTTCAAGTAACCATCGCTATTGATAAAAGTTACTTTCATTGTGGCGAACTAGAAGGTTTATTCATTCTATAATGGATTAGTATTAATTTTAAGTAATGCACGTTTCCTGTTTATTTAATTAATTTTCTAGGAAAACCATTTCAGTTATTTATGAAAATTCGAAATATTTCCATGAATACTAAGAAAAGATGTTCTAAAAACATATCAAAATTTTATTTTTTAAGATATTCTATTTGCAGCTGTTTAAATTAAAACTTTTAACTATCATTTTTGTCTATGTTTTTTGTTACTTTAAAAAATAATTTTTTTATTAAAATTTCAGCAAATTTATCGAAGATTAATATCGTAAATATAATTATTTGAATTTGAATTTCTAATTTTTTAAGTTATCGTAATATTTAAAAGTAGTATCCATAATAATAATACAAATTATGTAATTTGTGGACTTTTAACATGCTATTGTGTTTTATCAGCGTTACAATTTTAAACTTTACTTTTATGTTTTGAAAAGACTAACTAGCAATGAATTGTTCATGCTCTTAACGTTAATTATTTTCCGAAATTTATAAAAAAAAAACAAGCAAATTATGTATGTCATACATAAAAAATTGTGATTTTTATAATCCTACGTGAGAAAAAATATTCACTTTTACTGAATATATAAGAAACAATTTTAATATTGAACACAGAAAAAACAACTTTTACAATGTTTGGGTAGTTAATAGCTGATAAGTTAATGGGATTTTCAATTGTTGGCATAAACTGGTGTAATTATAAAGATATATCATGGCGGTTTAGTATTAAATACGAATCTCTCATCACCATATTTTTTGACGTTTTCTCTACCACCATCTATAATATTGACAAATTAAATATTGAATAATTCAATTCCACAGTCGAACGCCAGTGACAGATGCTGTGACAATAAAAGTCACTGCATCGTTTTTAATATCCGACCGTTCATTTCGATATGGCGCCTACAGGAAATGGATTTTGTCCGGGCAAAAGTTTTCTTTATTTTTCTTCCTCTTATTCTAATATTTCAGCGTTCGAAAATAAAAAATATATAGTTATTGGCAGTGAATTAGTAAAGTTTTCAAGTAAAAGAAAAAAAGAACATGACATATTCAAATCATTCACAGTTTTTTTCGACAACATTTGAGATTTGCACAGTCTATTTCGCGTATTATTCATGTTTATTACAATTTTCATTAGTTTTTTTTAGCACAGTGTAAATTTTTAACGGGATGATTTATTGATACAATAAGACGTAAGAATTGTCATGTTGTTTGTATATCAATCGGCTTGGTAAAGTATACATTTTATGTATCATAGATTGTTTTATGATCTTAGTAAAAAATTATCTTTCATGATGCCTGCAGTATATTTCTTTATAGTAAGTAATAATAAGTAATTATCCTTCAAAGGATGTATAACATGACTAAATCACTCTTAGTTGATTTATAATGGCGTACCTAAAACGATTTTTTCGTATAACATTACTTGACAGACATATGAGATATTTAGTTACCATAGTTATCTCATTAGTTTTCAGATGATATTTTAAATATCGTCATGGAGTAAACACTATTAGAAACAATTTATTTGTCAAAATGATAAATTTAATTTAAACAAAAGCTGTGTTAATATTCTTAAATTAAATAATGGTTTTATCAATGTCTAATTAAAATGTAGCTAGTAGCATTAAGAAGAACATAGTTAACTAAAATGTATAATACTTAAATAAG